GAGTTATATACTCTTGATATTGTTTAACAGTATCTCTCTATTTATTATTTGGAATTATGACCATAGTATCCAAAACTTGGTACGAAACATACATTTTCATCGTCTAAAGCTTGATCCGTCTCCTCTGTTGGATGGGCCTTTTTTCTATTAGCATCAATACAATACAGTATTATTATTATTATTATTATGATAAGGATTGCTAATAGAACAGTGGCTAATAATATCACTACTATTAGCCATACTAAAGCTGATGGCTCCATCCAAACCACTTCAACGACTACCAATATAATAGGAAGACCAATGTATACATACCATTCCATTATCATAGCCTATAATTATGATACACACTGATAGCTAATAGATATAGACACAGCTTACTTGAGTAGCAGCCTCCAGCTATTATTATTTTACTAGTACTATAGAGTATATGGATACAATTGTCTCTTTGTTTAAGCTGACGCACGGCACGTGACCTTAATTAACCATGAATATATTAGAATGATAATTGATACTCTATAATTATTTTTATTCTATCAAATTATACCTTTGTAGTGTAGTATCATTTTACACACTCTATTGATAGCTGTGGTGTATCTGTAATTGCTTGAGGTATGCATTTTTTTCATTCCTTACTTGTATAATGATGTTGTGATGATGTCATGAATTTATGTTGAGGTAATTTCCCTGGGAATCTCCCCACCCCTCGTTTATTTTTTCTTGAATTTGACTTCATTTAAATTACATAATTTATAGAGATATAGATATATTAGTTACATATGATTTTAGATTAAATATATCATACATAATTATTTTATAAGTCCTTGCATGTTCAAAATAACATGTTGTCCAAGTCCAATGATTGTAGAATGTGTTGTTTGACTTGTTTCAAAACATATTCTACACAACATAAATGTTCCCTTCTCTCTTGTGTCCTTTGCTGCACAGTGAAGGGAGGATATGAGCCCTGATTGTATCATAGACATCTCTATCCGTTGCTTGCTTTGGATATTTGATTTTTTCTTCTTTCCTTCTTCTAGCAAGACAACAATACAAGAGAGCGATGAATATGCCTGCCATAAAGACCAGTCCTGCCATAAAGATGAACTGAATGACCCAGGTGGCTGTAATGGCAAAGACACTAGTGATCACTAGCATTAGTGACATGAGGAGATTGATAAGTAGCAATGCAACTATCAGTGATATTGGATCGGTCATGTTGCTTTAGATGTCTCCTTTTCACTCCTTTTAGAATGGTTCCTAGCTGCCTGCTATTAGTCCCTAATTCCCCTACTTGTATATACCTATAAGGTAGTAATTCTCGTACAGACATATACCTAACCACACACACACAAACAACTTACCTTACCTCCCGTCTCTCTTTGTTAGCTTACACAATAGCACTTATGAATAACACGGCTTTCCGTATATGTACGTCAATTGTTATTTATGCTGAGACGGATATTAGCACAGTTTTGATTATAATGATAACTAAACACATTATGCTAGTAAAAGTGTTGTTGCAACTTTTAATTCAGCTTATTTTAGAATATCTATTGCTAGTAAACAATGTCTTTATGTGT